TACATAATTGTAATCCGTTGAAAAAATTTGCAAGATATCGTGCATGATTTCAGTAAGAAAACATGACTTGTATATAAATGTATTCGTTGAGTGGTATCACTCTTCTGTATAGCATGCCTTTTTAGTTATATATCTACAGTTGTATATCAATTGATATCCGTGATACATACATATCTCATTAACAATTAGATATCTTAACCAGTATGACATCGTTTCGTAATAACCAGTTTCGATAATAAATAAGAATTACAATCGTCTATGTATATGAAACATTAATTAGATTAATCTACCACTTTAATAATGTCCTTCATCGATCAAAAAATAAATAAATAAATAAATAAATACTCGTCATTTTCCAAGACATAGAAATTTATGAATTAATAAAGTAAATGCAATAATATCGAAACTAACAGGGTAATACTTTAGCGTCTCTCTAAGCTGTTTACGGACATATTTTACGTCGTTCCATTTATTTGAGGTGCTGAATACGAATATCATATCGGTTTTTGACGGAAATTACATATTTTCAAGATATTCATAAAAATCTTTATGTTCAAAAATGATTTATTATGTTTACCATAATGTGTTTATAGATTTCAAATTTTAAACGTAGAACGATTTATCTAACCCAAATAAATATTGATATTTCTATTAGTATCTTTAAGAAAATTTCCGTTTCCAGAGTCGTTATTAAATTCGAAATGATATCCTATAAACAAACGACAAAAACGCTTCAGAAAAGATAATGGCACGTGAGGAACATTCATTCTTGTAACAATATTCGAATTGAATGGATAAGTTCTTAACTTCAAGAAACCAGTTGCTTTTAGTTTATATCATATGGTAGTATATAAAATATAAAAAATATTCTTATGGTACACACGGTGACCAAGAATACGTACATTTCCATCGGTCTTACTGTAAATATATAAGGTCGATATCTTTGAAAAGTCGATTCTGGTGCGTTCGTACAGAAGCAAAGTCTGTAACGAAAGTTTGGTGCTTCGAATGGAATGGCACTGCAAAAAATGAGCTGTGTATACCATGAAGAAGATAGAATAAGATCGCTTGAGATTAGACATTAGATAACATCAAGATTTACAGAGCCATTGTTTCGTAGTGCTTTTTTGTTACTTACTTTCAGTTTTATAAAACTATGACATTGAATTTTTCAATTTATGTCATCATAACTGGAAAATCATAATTTATTTTGGTACAAGAGATTATTTCTTTTGTAATGTATAAATTTAAAAAAATTTTTTAATCAAGACATTAAAAAAAATTATATAAATAAAAATTTAAAAAAAATTTTTTCTAAATAAAATTTCCTAAATAGAATTCAATTGATAATAAGAAATGAAATATGATATATATATATATCCGATTAACATAAATAATTTAGAATGAGACTGTTTAATGTCTAAATTATATAATGTTACTTTCAGATACTATAGTTATATACAACTTGTTTAAAGTTCGATAATTCTGTGAATATTCAAACTGTTTCTCTATAACGATTTATTTTCAATATTCGCTGTTTTCTCTGCATTATTTTAAACCTCTTTAAATTTAAATGATTTTTACAAATCGCATTTCATTGCTACATGATTGACAAATGTCTAATTATTATAAATTATAATATAAAGTTTTAAATAATTGTTTTTTTTATTACCGAGCTAACGACAAATTTAAAAAAAATATTTAATTAACAAACCACAGAACTTGTTGATCATACGAAGAGATTGGAACAAAAATTTTCTTATTTTTGAAAAAAGTTTCATTCTAAATAAACGTAAAACCAGGAAGACGGACAATGCTCATCTCTATAACGTTGTGACGCAACTGTGTCTATGCTTACATAAGATGTTCCAGATTAATTAAAATGCCTCATTAAATCTAATGAATGTATCATCCACGTGTTGCCACGGCAAGAGTCCTCAGCATGATTTTATCACGGAACTATATTGTAAAGTAAGTGAAGTACCAAAAATCTATTTAGTTTTCTGATTCTTATCATAATAATCTTTTCGGAAGAAAAAATCGGTCACCTCGGTTTTTTCAAATTTTTCCATTTTATTACCTCTATTTGTTACAATTATTTGTTTTTGTTACAAATTATTACAAAGATTCATTTTTCTTGATATCTTTTCTTGCAGTAGAAATTCAAAAAACGAATAAACACAGAATATACTTTTCCTACATCAAAATGTGATCTACTTTCAGCTTGCAGTTTGTCTGTTAGCTAGGAATTGTGTTTAACGAGACTGATGAGTTTCATTCGAGTCGAGCAGGCTACATCAATGCGCAGCAGGAACCATTCATAGTGTCGACATTAATTCACATGAATGAAAATCCAGTTTATCATTGACATAATCTGATGATGTCCGAAAGATTGTTATTATTATTCGTTGTTAGGCTTATGTACGTAAGAAAGAAAATAACGAGAGAAAATAACAATTGAGACACAGGAATAAGTGTTAAAATAGAAGAGCCGTTCAGACGGTCTATGTATCGAACATATGGAAAAATGTTGAGAATCGTTTTGAACGAGTGGTGGTGGTATAAATAGTGATGCAAGAAGAAAGCAAAAAATAAACATGCGCTAAACATAAATACTTGTAACTTCTTTATGGTTACCGGTCGCTAAATCATACTCTTTAATTACTATCAATATAAAGTGTAACAGTCCAAATAATTTATTATGAATATAAATGTTAATATTAATGCACGTTCTGTGGATGCGTGAAGATTAACCGTCTGATGAGCCTGACTTTGATGTAACTGTATCAAGATTAATAGACTGCGGATTTTTGTGCATTTTCACATGTACATTTATTCACTAAAGAAATGAAGACTTACGTAACTAAAAAAATGGAAATAAAAATTTATTTCATCTACTATAATAATAAATACTCTAGTATTATATTTTGTATATTCTTGCATACATTGTCTGCATTCTTTAGTGTTCAAATTTCTTATAAATGTATAAAAGTCCGCACTGATTAGCGTAAGAACATTTACAAATGAAATAAATTAAAAGGAAAGAAAAGAAATTTGTCATTGTTTCTTTTATCTTTTTATCATACTGCAATAAAATCGATTGGTCAATTCGCCATATCGATGAATGTTATAACAGAGATTTATTACAAGCATAATGAAACTTTTGTCAGACATTCCTGGCAAGAATCAGTGGAACTGAACACTGGAGAATCTTAACGCTGACTTGATATCGAGGTTGCTTACAAACGGTGAACCAATTATCCGCGTCGCGTTTAATACGTATAAGGAATGAACGCGGAGAGAGACGTGTGTGTATTTGCTCACAGACGGTGTGGTAAAATAAGCTTCATGAGGGCCAGCCTTGCACCAATAAGGTAGCATTCTGAACAGATCAGTGCTTACTGGTTTTGTATTTCAGCTCGTTCCCGCGTCTCTTGCTCTTTCAGTCTTTCAGCAATCTCTGCTTCGAGCGAAACTTCGGTTTCTATATTTATGTACGTACATTAATGGAACTCTCTCGACATAGACTTTTTTCGAAGAATAAGCCAAGTCTCTCACTATGCTCTGATTCTTCTTCATTCATTGAATCGATAAACATTGATCCTTTTGTTTCCGATAATTTCATGCAATCTTTTTGTTGCTTATGAACCAAATTATGTGAAACTTGACAACTTGCGTCCCATACTAATTGTAAATGGAAAAAATACACACGCACACGCACGTATGCATACACGATTTGAATATATTTTTTCTACAGGGATATATCTATCGTGGAAAATGTAGTTCTCTTTGGACAATTTATCTTTTCTCTCCATGTATTATCTTTCCTAAATTGTAATTAGGAAAAAAACTAGATTTGTGTTTCAGTTGCGTGAGTTCTACTGAAATAGGAGATTTGATATTGAAACAAGGAGCTGTATCTCATTAATATTTTTACTTTTGCTCATCTTGGAAAATATTATTTAGTAGCAATATAATTATTTAACAATTTAAAAAAAATACCTAAATATAAAATTAATTCATCCTAGTAAAATACGTGTATAAGAAAGTTATGCATTTGATTTGCATTAGTATAGCGTTTAATATTCTTGTACACTTATCAGTTCGCTCCGAATCTTAACTATCTAGTATGTTTTAATTTAAACGGCTTGTCTCTGATTAAATCGGTTAATCAAGGTTTTTTACCGAATCAAGCAGTGAAGGAATCTTGGAATGTTTAAACATGGTTAATAATTGATTTTAACCATGCTTAGAAAAAAATTATATAAATCAGATATATCTGATTATTTCTTATTTCTAAAATTATATAAATCAGATATATCTGATTATTTATTATTTCTTATTTTAAGAAAAATTAACAATATTTAACACAATATCGTCAATATTATGTTAAATATTGACATAACATAATCATTGTAACATGATGTATTTAATATAATATTTAACAATAGGTTGTAAAATATGTACAATAGGTTACAAAATAGCATTTAAAGTTTATACTTTTGCGTATAAATCGAATAAATTGACAATTGCAAATTAACAATAACAAGTTTTTAATTAAACTGATAGAAACTAATAATAATTAGGAAAATGTCAGATAATATTAAGTTTAATCCTCGATATAATTTCTCAAATCTTTAATTTGAATGGAGTCAAATATACATCCGGAAAAATAAATTGGGCATCACTACCGTAAATAATTTATAATTTTGTTATAATTTATGACTAACGTATAATTTTGTAATTTATAATCTTGTAACTTAATTACTTACGCAATGATATAGTGAATGGGTAAACTTTTCCACTCCAAAGTTGGAAAAGTAGTAGAATTATAAATTGAATCGCGTAATGTTATCGTTATAGATAAACGTATCTGAGATTTTAACAAAATAAGAATATTTCATTTTAGTGTGAGAAACGATTGGAATATAGTTTGGTTTTAATTAATAAATAAAACGAATATGGTTTTATCAAGAGAGAAAATTGCCAGTTTAATAAACTTTTCTTTTTACGCAAAAAAAAAAAAAAAAAAAAAAAAAAAAGAAAAAAAACAAAGGTGAAACTTTCTTATCGAACGAACAGTACAACCCGAAGAAACGCCTCCTCGTGTCCGTGTTCGTTCGCGAGCGTATTAATATCTTAAATGGTAAATCTTGGTACACAAGCGACGGATTACAATCATCGTACGTATATTACACACCACCGACATCTCTCGTCGATTACTCATTTTCGTATAAATACTTATTATCTGCTTACGCTACTCCTTTCGTTTCAATCGTCGTGCCTTTTGCAATGTCGCGCGGGGCAAGTACGGATTCTACAAACGAACGCAAGTTCGACACAAAAGAAACAAACAACTGTACGTACGTATCGTACGTATCTGTCTCGTTTATGTTCATCGACGACGTTCGTCTACGAAAATACATGTTCATTTTTCTCTTACGCAATATCTTGGCTCGATCGTCATTCGAGACACGCGTGAACGTATTGCTACAACGGAGGACCCTTGTTTTCGAAGGAACAACGATCGAAACAAGAAAGAAAATAGTAATAGTATCGGTAGTAGTATCAGTAGTAATAGTAGTATCAATAGCAACAGCGGTACAAGTAGTAGTAATAGTAATAGTAGTAGTTGTGATAGTAGTAGTAATAGTAATAGTAATAGTAGCGAGAGTAGTAACAATAATGATGATGATCGTATGGAAAAAACCAAAAAAAAAAAAAAAAAAAAAAAAAAAAAAAAAAAAGGACGCTCGCTGAGAATCGGTTCGGAAACCGATCGACGGGTCTTCCCGACGTCTTTCAACCTTTCGTTTGCTTAATCCTAATCGTCGTTTACCGCGTTACCCATTACTCGATAATGGAAATATCTTGTACACAGAGTATTCTTAATAATAAAGTGAAGAAATCGTCTTCGACTCGCGTGTATCGTTTCTCCTTCGAACGTCAGTTCAGCCTCGCTTGGTTTCGACGTTGAACAAGAAGAGCACGGCAGAGAGGAAGAGCGTTGGACACCCGATAACCATGAAAAACGAGCAATCGTCGACCTCTTCTTGGGTGACGCCTGTGTTTGAAACTCGATCGGTAGGAACAACGATTAAAGAGGCGCTCATATACATATATGTGTATGTATCTGTGTGTGTGTATGTGTATGTATATACCAAGAGTACACAGAGGATCGTGCGTGTACCTGGGCGTTCGACGAGCTTCGAAACCTGTTCCCCATTCGGTACCCGATACGTTTCCACTTTACGAACGCAAAAGTGGAAACGCGCAGGAAACCCGTGCCCGTCGGCTAGTAATTCTACCGTGCTCGTCCTCCTGCTGTTCGATCTTCGCGCTGCAAGGAAGGTGCATTTGATTCACAGCCCGTACTCACACCCTCATAACGATCTCCAGCATACCGAGATCCAAGCGATCGAACGTCGTGGATCGCGTATTTTACGTTACATGTGATATGTCTGTATGTGGTATGTTTCGATCCGACCGAAAGCCTCACTTCTTTTTTTCTCTTCGTTTCATACACGATTTCCCAGCCGCTTTACATGGCTGGATCATTCTCGCGCGCTCAGCGTGGATTGGTGAACGCAGTTCACGAACGAAAATCCGCTGGAATCTGTTTTCTACGATGATGGCTTCTCGTCGATCCATCGCGTGTGGTTGCAAAAGTCAGAGCGCGCGCGAATCGCTTTCGCCGCATCGTATCAGGTATGTGTGTGCGTGTGTGTATGTCCATGCGTGTCTATCGTGTACGTGTGCGTGTAAACGCGTGTACCAGTTTCAACGTGTTTCGAGGAAACGTGTATAAAATGCTAAACGACCAGTGCACTCGAGTACGCGGGGTTCCGACATATTGGTTCACGTTACACGCTTAAGTACCGTTTCCGTTGCACGTCCGTTCTACGCGATTACACAAGCCCCTGCCACGGAAATAAACCTTTCGCGACACAATTAGCCAGCCTAACGTAACAATTAATTCGCCTGTACTTCCGTCTACGAATCTCGGAAAAATAAGCTTCCTCTTCCGGGGGTTCGTGCTTCGAGACTGCTTGCGCGTCATTTTTTTTTTTTTTTTTTTTTCAGCCTCGAACGACTGCGAGACACGTACTATATATATATATACACAGGGTGTCTCTGTTAAACATTGTTTTCTTTGACTCCTAGATTAAACAGTTTGGCGGGACACTCTGTATATACATATATGTATATAAAAGTGATAATTTTTCTCCATTTTATCGTCGATAACCGAAAAAAGAGAATCGATCAATTTGAATTTCTGATAAACGTTCGCAAGAGTCGCGAAATACGGTGAGAAGGGCGTCGCGTCGCGAGACGTTGAAAACAAAGTGAAGAAAGTAGTCGTGTTTGTCCCGCTTAACGGGGGAGCCGGTGCAAAGTCTGTTCGTTGGTAACTCGAAGGAAGCCAACTACGACATTGGCTGAGAAAGGTCGGTTGCAAAGCTGTCCTAGATACGCGGCGGTCGACCGGAAAAACTCTGACTGCCGCCGTTTCGTACCGTAACACGACCGACCGAGGAAACCTCGAGCTATTTACGATTCGTACGTACATATGTACTCGCGTACGCATATAGACCGATAACGTACGTGTACATACATATGTAATATCCATTATACATATGGTATAATATATAATATATATTATACATATTAATATAAATATTAATACATATTATATATTATACATTATATACGTAATATGTATCACATAACTATGGTAGCGGAGTCCGGAAAGGATGGCGGAGCTGCCTCTTCCGTTTCTTTCTACGCGCTTTTTTTCTCGCTTTCTTTCTCCTAATTGCGCGCGCGCACACACACATACACACACGCACACGTTGTATATTCTCACTCTCCTTTGGCACGTTAGCTCGTATGCTACATTCTACGTGGTCTTTAATCTACCGTTGCGATAAAAAAATACGAGGAATAAAAATATATCACGTAACAACGTTCCTCCCGTTGCTTGTCGTCGGCGACGAAATCGCGGAAGGAACAACTCGCTGGTATTCTAAACTGACTGAAACACCAATTTCTCTCTCTCTCTCTCTCTCTTTCTTTCTCTTTCTCTCACACACACACATACACACACATTCTCTCTCTCTCTCTCTCTCTCTCTCTCTCTCTCTCTCTCTCTCTTTCTCGATACTCCAGGTATTTTTCGCCTTTCCTCTCGCTTCGAGAGATTTCCTTCGACGAAATATATATTTCGCCAACGCGAGTAATACTCCGCTATTGCAATCAAAGGATCGCAAGCGTTCTCAAGCGATCTCGAGCAGATCCGGTCGCTATCCGATCCAAGACAGCCATCAGCTAGGCTGCGGGGGCGTCAGCTTCACCAACAGCCACGTGTACAACTTTGGCCTCTGTACGTCGGCCAGCTCGTACTGGAGATTGCTCAGCCCGTCCGTCGAGAATCTCTTCTTCCCCGTTTTCAGATACTCGTACCTGCCGCGAAGTCGGAAATGAAGAATCAGAACCGTGAATCGATCGAACGTCAAACGTCGAGAGTGAAGTCAGGCGATCGACTCGTCGAGAGCGGCTCACCTCTTTGGATTGGCCTTCTCCTTCTTGTGCGTGAGCATCTTGTATCGCGCCACGTTCGCCGGATACCGGGAGATGTGGAGGCCGTGCGCCTTGATCCGATTCGCCATGTCGTCGTCCTCGCCGCCCCAGCCCCAGAACACGTTGCTGAACCCGTTCACCAGGCGGAACTGCTCCCGCGACATCGCCGACACGCCGCCAAACAGATCGGCGTACGGTAGCCTCAATAGTGCAGAGACAATAATGCAGATTACACGATTTTCAAAGCGCGACGTAGCGAAGTAGCTGAAATTTACTCGACACGCTGTCGCGGAATACCTGTATTTGAACTTGTCCACCGCGACGGACATGTGCCGCGGCTGCTCCGGGCACGTGTAGAGATTCCTATCGTCTTCGGGAAGTAGGTCGACGTCGTGAAAAATGAAACAGTCGAAAGGTCGTTCCTTCAAGGCCTCCACGTATCCCACGTTCATGAGCATCGCGCGATTGAAGGCGTCGCTACCTGGAAAAGCGAGGTGGAGAACAAGATTATTATTATTATTACGAAAAATATGAAAAATTATTACGAAAAATATTTTATTATTTTTAAAGAAGATAAGTCATATTAATACTTTTAAAAAAGGGAAAACAGAGGTTCGTTATTAGAGAACAAGATTATTATTATTATTATTATTATTATTATGAAAATATTTAATTATTTTTAAAAAATTTATATGTACAAATAATATTTATATTTATTTAAAAATCAAATGAAAAAATAAATATATTTATTTTCACTTTTATAATTATATTTTCATTTTCATTTGTTATATTTAATTTTAATTAATAATTTTAATTGCAGTTTATTTAAAATATTAAATTTGCAAATTTAAAGAAATTTAATATTAATTAATATTATAAAATTTTAAGTTATATAAACTATTAGTCTTCAGAATTAAAAAAATATTATTTACATAAATTTTAATATAAAGGGGGATAAGGGTATTATACAAATATTTTTTTTCTTTTTCATTTTTATAATTATATTCTTATTTTTATTACATTTAATTTTACTAATACTTTTAATCATAGTTTGTTTAAAACATTAAATTTGTAAATTTAAAAAAATTTAATATCAATTAATATTATAAAACTTTAAGCTATATAAACTATTAATTTTCAGAATTAAAAAAATATTATTTATATAAATTTCAATATAAAGAGGGGATAAGGGTATTATATATATATATATATTTATTTTTTTCATTTTTATAATTATATTCTTATTCTTATTACATTTAATTTTACTAATACTTTTAATCGTAGTTTGTTTAAAACATTAAATTTGCAAATTTAAAAAAGTTTAATATCAATTAATATTATAAAATTTTAAGCTATATAAACTATTAATTTTCAGAATTAAAAAAATATTATTTATATAAATTTTAATACAAAGAGGGGGTAAGGATATTATACACATCGATCGATCGTTTTTTACGAACGATTTAGGAAGAAACGAGGAGCTGGTGATTTCGCGGGTCTCCGAATTGTGTGTGTATGTGTGTGTGTATTTTGGCCCGCAAGACGGAGGAAACGGGCACGGCTCGATCAAAAGTTTCGCATCTTATCTCTTTAGGCGAGCAGGCCTCGAGAGGACTCGAGAAGCCCGCGGAAAAAGTAGGCCGTCAGCTCTATCTTTGGTCAACTCTACCACTCTCTCTCTCTCTCTCTCTCTCTCTCTCTCTCTCTCTCTCTCTCGGTATCTTACGTGTGAAACTTTCGCGTTCTCCGTGTCCTTGCCGAAACAAAATCGAGTCGACACAAGGCGCAATAGGATCTCGTATGTCGTTCACCATCCCCATCCATGGTTTCTTCCCTTCAATGGCCGCCCGTGCGTCATTCACGCGAGTCGTCAGCTATTTCCGCAAGGCAAATTCGGTAGACAATCTGTCTCGCGTGCACGCAAATAGCCAAGTTAAATGAGAGTACGTTCGTTGGGTATCGATGGTTTCCTCGTCGCTTGCAGACACGTACGATACATCGTCGGAGACGCGGCCGTCGCATCTGGGTCAACTCGTCGAGAGGACAACACGTTGAGGGGTGAGATTGCGCCAAAAGGAAAAAAATGTTGGGTCGCGGTTTAAAGAAGAGCTGCTCTCAAAGACGAGAGACGTTCATTCGCGCCCAGAAACGCTCTTTCGCTTTTTCTTTTCTTTTCGGTCCATTCAACGGGCGTTCATCAACCAGCAATCTCCACTCGGTTGGTTGACAACGGAGGAGATCTCGTTGAAATTCATTCGTTCGAGCCATCGTTGAATCAAGTTCGTGCGTGTGTCTACGGCTGTAGCGGAGAATTTTTTTGGTACCGATTTTCAAATTTGGCGACTAGACGAGAAGACCGCGGAACAAAGTTCGTGTTCGCTCGAGACGATTCAATTGGATGCTTCGACGTATCTCACAGATGCAGCGACGCTCGCTGCGTCAACGAACCGGAGCTCCTCGACTTGCTAAATGTTGGACGTGTGACGAAAGTTGAGAAACTAGAGAGTTTATTCAAAGTTATTTTAAGAAATATTGTCTTGACTTTATTGCAGTGTGTACGACAAAGTCCAACGTTTACTTTCGAGTGGCCTTTTCATGAATGAAAAGCATTTTTTCAAAATTCTATGACGACAAACTCTGTGTAAAACTGTATTTCACGCAAAGGATGAAACGAGTAAAAATAATAATAACCCTTGACAAATTATTGAAATTATTATCTATTATAACAGATATCAACTTTTCTAGAATTCTCGAAAACGGTCCTTATACATCCAATTGGTATGAAATTAAAAATTTGCTACATAGTCTGATCTTTTTCCAAACTCCACAACTATATTGTGACTATACCACGCGTAAACGTATGAAACGAATAAAAAGACAATAACAACGTGCACCATGGTAAATTATTAAAACTTCTAACAACTATCATCTTGATTTTATTACAATAAATGTAAAATGTCAGCTTTTCTAAAATTCTCGGAAACGGTTCTTACAATTATTATGAAATAGAAAACTAGCTACAGATTCTGATTTTACAGAGTAGACTTTCTTTCGCGAACGAAACATAATTTTTCAAACCACCGCGATGACTAAGTGCAACTGTGCTTTACGCAAAGGATTGAAACGAACGAAAAGACATGACGAATCGACGACAGCTGCGACTAATCGCTTCTCTCCTCGATCTCGCTGGCGAGTCACGCTCGATTCACGGCGAAACTGACGGGTTTCACCGGTGTCGCGTGGATTCCATTCCACGTAGATCGAAGCGAGTTAAAAGAAATGGTCGAAACGTCGAGCGAACGTGGACAGTTCGAAACCTTTGTAAAACCTCAATTCCAATCTCTTTGCTTCTTGCACCGCGACTTACAGGGTGAGAAAGAAATGTTTGCCCGCGGCTATCACAGATGAATTGTACACCTTCGATTCGATAGAAATACATGTAAAGAACCTGTCGCACAATCTTGATCTTAACCTTGAATTTCAAGGCCAAAAGAAATTTTTTTTCTTTCGTTTGCATTGCATTCTACTCATCACCAAGGTAAAAATTTCCAAAGAATCTAAGAGTTCTCTTGAAAAATGGCAAAGAAATTTCTTAATCGTTTAACATTGCGGACTAACAGCGACTTTATCGTTCTAGATTAGGTTTCACTAACATTCGATTTATCATATCAGTTGCAGCATCAGTGTGACTCTGAATAATCAAATAACAAAACTAACTGTTAACATCATTGAATATAAACGTTATGTCCACGCGGTCAGAATCGTAAAGTCGCTGTTAGAACGCACGCGTCTGCAATGTTAAATGATTAAGAAACTTTCTTGCCATTTTTTCAAGAGAACTATTATGTTGCAACCTATGGTTCTTCAGAAATGTTTTACCTTCGTGACGAGTAGAATACAAGAAATGCAAGAAAAGAAAA